AATTGCTGTGTTAAAAATCTGAATTTTCATTTATCAAAAACTGCGTACATCAGCCTGCAGCCAGCTTCAGTTCTAAGCCCTAATTTGCGAAAACGCAAGATTTGAGGCTTGCCAGCAAAAAAACCAAATTTTCTAGGCCCTCTACATCGAAGCGCTGTACACGATTACACATAAGATTGGGAAAGAGGACAGCGAGAGCAAGGTACGGTCGTTTTTGTGATACGGTAGCTTGGGATACGCCTTTTTTAACTCAACGTAAACTGAATTTTCAGGAAAACCTCTGCAAATACGTAAAAGCCGCCTTCCAGGGTGATAACCAGTTGCACGCGCAGTTGATGGAGAGGGCAAAGCAGAACAAGGTACAGTGATGGGGCGTATTTTAGGGAATACTTTTTGGGAAATCCTGTGCGTTACAATATTGATCTTAATGGCTTTAAAATGTGTTAAAAGGTGTAATTCTAGCCTCCCATCATCCTACTCAACGTTCTTCTACTCGAAGCAAAAGATTTGGTGGCCAAGGATGTAAACGGTGAGCTTTTCAAAATGTTTTTGTTCGGCGATCCAATTTATTGAATATTGCTTGTATGAATCGGCTAATCCATATTTTTTGAAAATTTGAAGATGAAAATCTCGAAATTTACGGTCGCAATGAGCACGACAGTGCGGTAGTAAAAAGCGAAAGTCGAAAATCATAGCACTCTTTGATTCTATCCTTAAATACTTATTTTTTTAGGCTTCTCGGACCCATTTGCGATGATGGGCGTCGTTCCCGGGAAACGCGTCCCCCATGCCCTCACAGCCGAGGGGGAAAATGGTGCTCCTTCGCCGCAGGTAACTAAAAAATAATAGAACTACGGTAATCTACCGTAATCAGCAGAAAAAAAAGGAATTTTGGATATATCGTATTAACGGATCGACGCAAAATTTTCCAGCATACGGTAATCAGCAGATAATAGCGAAATTTTCGAAGCTAAGGTAATGAGCGGAGAATAATGGCATTTCGCAACTGGTGTCCTAGCGGAATATAGCGGAATCTTTGGACTTAAAATGGCTTTATGTTAGAAAAAACATTAAATTACGATAGAAAAAAAGTGTTTGCACTATAGATTAATAAGAAAATTTGATTTCCGTTTTCATATAAATTTTTAAGTTTTAAAGACGTGAGTAAAAGTCGGATATTGAAGTGAAAATTGATAGTAAAAGCACCTTAAAAGATTCAAACTGAAAAATATTGTCCTAACACCCAAATTCTACCCCCCACAAACACAACCCTACCCCAGTGTTTTTTTTTCTTAAAATATATCACCACGCAAAAATTAGACGCCCGAGGAGAAGCAGCTGCTGTGTGACGTAAGCTTTCCCAGTTTCTTTCACATCTGGCCGGTGTCTATTTTCTATATATCATTAATGGAATACATACCGTATCACCATCGTGTGTGTCATACACCCTACATTTTGATATTGTCGCCTCCGTTCTTCAACCGGAGAGAAACGGATTATATGCCACGTGTCTTTTTCGGCTTGAAACCTTCGCCCTAAGCTTACCCGGACAAATTACATGATTTATATTTTGATTAAATTAAATATAAAAATAGTGTATGATTTAAATCGGTGAATTGAGCTCAAAATTAGCTTTTATAACTTTTATGCGGTTTTTCGCTATTCGCAAATGAAATTGATTAGGAAAATCGCGAATCGACCCCTTAGGACCATTAGGTCTAAGTTAACATACATTTGTAAGGCAGCTGATCAACAAGGCCTTAATTCGGCGTCCGGTCACTACCCCGAAAAGTCACTACGCCGAAATTCTTTACCCCGAAAAATGATGGTATTGTTTTTCGCCGTAAAATCCAGTTTTCAGTCGGATTTCCTATAAAAAACATGAAAATTATTTCGGGGTAGTGACTTTTCGGGGTAGTGACTTTACCCCTTAATTCACTTAAAAAAAATTAAGACGAAGACATTTTACGAGGTTTAAATTCAATGAATTCAACGAAGTCACTGATTCTCCGTACATGTGAAGCCGATTGTCCGGTCCTCCTTGGCCGCCTTGGCCCCAGCCACAACTTACCCACAAAAAGCGCAATTTTCCTCGTCCGTCCCTCTTTAAATGTCTACCCTAAGCCACGTCCACCCTTTAATATATATATTCGTGTCAATATGCCAATTTCCGGATCTCCGGAAGCATTTTTTAATGGCGTGTGCCCTTGCTTGAAGTATCCACGTAATAGGGCGGGTCCCCGAAGGGACCCACCCTCCACGAAATGACACACGCAACACACCCGCCTCTACAAAGTACTAACCACACCCTCTACTTTTATCATCAATAACTAGCAGTGATTTTTAGGGAAAACAGAAGGATGGGGTCCTGCAACGATTTGGTGGGTCATTCCGGAGGAGGCCAAAGAAGGAGAGCAAGAAAGGACCGTTGGATGAGGGGCAAGGGATTCCGGCAAAGCTTATCAAGGCGTCGTCAGTACAGGTGAGTACTTGTAAATTTCTAACTTTCAGAAAGTTGATTCTTTTCATCGCAAAAATGAAATTGCATACCGTAATCGATTGAACGGTTAGAGCAAGTTCTAAAAATTTTTTCTGCATAACCTTTGTCTTGTCCTTTCTTTGGATTTACATGGCGTAATCGATTGAAAGGCTAGAAAAAATAGCACAACTGAAATACTTTTTCCTATTATCTAATTTTCCTTACTTTTTACGTAAACGACTGGCTTTAATTGCGTTAATAACTTGGAAAAAATTATTGAATTTGGTGGATATGGTGGAGATTCCCTAGGAAATGTACTTAAAACGCCCGACTTATTAAGAAAGTTGATTTTTCAAAAGCTTAATAAAACCGTAAATCGTTTAAATTGTCGTAGAGGTGTATTCAATCTTATTATAATTATTGAAAATTAATTACCGTTATTTAGAACAAAACCCTGAACCCGCGGTGGAACGAGAAGTTCCAATTCCAAGTCGAGGATCCGACCATCGACAGATTCCATATCGATATTTGGTAAGTAATATAAATATTGATTTAATCTTTGGTTGTTCATCTAATAGAACTGTTAATAATTTCAAAAATCTAAAAATGCAAAAGTCTATACCCCGCCGGAAAATGCCTATTTTTAGGGACCACGACGATGAGGAGCAATCAGTCCTTGACGCCGTTTCGACGCTAAATCAGATTAGTGGAGGTTTAAAGGTATAAAAGGCCACAAAATAAGCAAAAATGGAGCTGAAAATCGACTGAAAATTTGATTCCTAATTCTAGGGGCTGGGCCGCTACTTCAAAGAGGTCACCCAATCAGCGCGAGCCGATTCCGAGGAGAGTACCGATGACTTTTTGGGCTGTATCAATATTGATTTGGATGTAAGTAAAAACTACTATAAACTCTATAAACTACAGACAATAGCTCTCAAACGAAGCATTTACCGCTCACCTATGAATTTTTAGAAAATCCCACCCGACGGCCTGGAGCAGTGGTACAAGCTCGAACAGAGGAGTGAAAAATCGAAGGTGTCGGGCAGTGTTAGACTGAAGGTAAGTTGACGGTGTTAATTTAAAGCCTAAATTTAGCTGTGGCTGAGCACGAGGGAAGACAGAATTGGAGATGAGGAAGATTTGCTGGACGTAAAAGAGCACATCGAGCTGACGAGGCAATTCGCGTTGTATGAGATTCGACAGAGCGGGGTAAGCTTGAACCAATTTTTTCGTATTTGCGCATTAATAGAATGTAAAAAATTAATTCCCATGTCATATAAAAATTATATGGATACTGTAACTCGATAAAGCTATAAATTTAGTCCCCCGTCCGAATGTGGGACGGCTACTTCCCCGACAAGCCGATTTGCATCCTGAAACAACATGCTATTCAGAGCGATTTGGATGACGTTCAAGTTTGGATGTGGTAGGTATTGGATCGTTGTTCTTTAACTCTCTTACCTTCTCTCTCTCTCTCTCTCTCTCTCTCTCTCTCTCTCTCTCTCCTTGTCTCGCTCTCCCTCTCTCTCGTTCTCTTTTCTCTCTCTCTCTCTCTCTCTCTCTCTCGCTCTCTCTCTCTCCCTCACCATATTCATATATTTCAGTAAATGGCTCGCCTTCCACTCGATGATCCCAATTGACATCTCCTTCAATTTGTTGCACCAAACTTTACATACCTTGCTGGAGAAGTGGAAGCCAATGGAGTTGGAAAAGGTATGTTTAACAATGACTTACGCGCCTTGCGTGTCGCGACATGTGCTCTGCGTGTCGCTACATTGTTTTCGTATTCTGGATACAAAATTTTGATACACTATTAGATCCCTTTAGGAAGAAGAAAACCTTCTCCTCGAATCGTTCCACCAATTCGACGCCTACTGCCGGAAGTGTCTGTTGGAGCACCGTGAACGATTTGTGCCGACGAAGCGGAATAGTGGGGAGGAGTTTATCTCTCTAATCAAGTGAGTCGTTAAAGCACGACAATGGCAAGGCTCTCCCGTTGACGCTGCATGCGAATCCGCCGCAAACTTGTCGTAACCAACACGCAAATGAAAGATCCAGTGCGCGTTGCGCCTGTCTACACATGCGTTGCGTTGCCATATGTTCGTGTTGCGCCTTGCGTGTCGCGACATGTGCTCTGCGCGTTGTCGTCGTGCACCTCGCGCTCTTGTCGCGAGATGTGCAGTTCGCGCCTCGCGGCATATGCGTTGCGCGCCGCGGCCTGTGCGTTACGTATCACGCCACGCGCGTTGCGCGTCGCGACCTGTGTTGCCAGTTGCGAAAGGTGCAAAAACCATGCCGAAATTCATAGCCACCCGAATCTTACGGATCTACTTTCCATTCCAGATGTATGCGCTCCCTCCGTGAAAGCACCTTTTTCTCAAAATTCCTCACCGCGAAGCGGCCTTTCGTCGCACACATCGAATCACTATTAGCGGTACGTCTTCAAAAACTTTCTGGAAATTCTAATCAATTTAGAAATCCGCAGAAGCCTGGTTCGCTCAAGTTGTCGAGTCATGTCAGGATGATGATCCTTGCAAGGAGTTGCTTAGGTAAGCAAGCCCGAACTCCTTGAAAAACCTTATCATCTGCCAGCATCCTGACCCGCTTGAACAAAGCCTGCTCTCGGTTTCTGCACTATTCCGCACCCATTCGAGAAGTCGCCCGGGCCGATTATGCTCATATCACGTTGTCGACTTTTGATACCTTGGTAAGTTAAGGTTTAAATGATACCTAAGAACTATATTATTCTAGCTAAGCGAGTACCTGACGTCGGAGATGATGGCGGAGAAGAGTTCAAATCTCAAAGCGCAGCTAAAAATTTCTGCATCTGATCCTCCCACTGATGATGATCTCCTTGATTTGATTCGGATCCACATCGCCTTCGTCGAGTTGCGGAATCACAGGCTGGCAAATCGGGTGTAAGTTTGAACTACGTTGCTTAAAATACAATTTTTAATGTCATGCTTGGCATTAAGCTTTAAAGTACAAAGTCCAAAGTGAACGCTTTTCAGACGAGTCCGAGAAGAACCAGAATGGGCCGACATCTTCAACAGGGGCATCAAGAAATTCTTGGACGTGGCGAGGGAAAGAGCGACGGCTCGTGTTGGACTGTCTTGTCAGCTCGATATTCCGGTAGGCGCCTATGGACGTAGTAAATCTCCTTGGTTTTAGATCAACACCGGCGCCAACGAGATGAAGCAGTCCAGCAGTCACGTGGATGTTTGCCATATTGTTGAGCAGGTATGTGCGGTTTTAGGCAATTTTAACGTTCTCCAGACGTTATGTGCCGGGTTAATGGCAGAGAATAGCTTCAAAACTGCTGAAAACTGTATTTTAGCTTACCGTCTGCTGGGAGCGCTGTGAAATCACGGACCCGCGACTTCGAGCCGAGCTGACGGAACGATTTGTCGATTTGCTGTGTGAAGTCGTGAAGAATTATTCTATAAAGGTATCGTTATTTTTATGTTAGAATTTTTATAGAAGACGCAACTTCCAAAAAAAAAAGATATTTTAATCTTCATAAAACCGAGTTTTAGACTATTGCTGCCCTTGAAGCCGAAGGATTCACCGGAGATTTGCAAGTCTTCTTACCATCCGCCTTGTTGAGTATTGTAAGTTTTAGGTTTGAAGAATTATCGATTTTCTCTCTCTCTCGCTCTATCTCTATCGCTTTCAAGAAAACTCTATAAAACCTGACGTTTTCAGTTCTGCTCGGCCATCAACAACTGCGAGCATGTTCGACGCGCTCTGATCGTTCACGAAAAATTGCGTTTGGACGATTTGGGGACGAAGGAGGAACGTGAACAAAAGGTCGGTTACCCTTTTCTAAAACATAAGTTTTTTATTAGGGCGGTTCCAAGTGGAAGATATTGATCGAACAGCGGCTAGAAGACTGCGAGGAGATGATCTCGGCCGAGATTGACAGGATGATTGACAAATTGATCAAGTAAGTTGACATTTCTGACGTATGCTTCTTGATGACTAAATAGCTTCACTGTTCTAAATTATGCAGGATATCGTAGTTTACATAGGCAAAAAGCGTATGGAAAAGTACATTGCTGCGTAATTTCAACTTTTAGGCGCCTCCTCCCCCAAATGAAAAAGCACGTTTTCCACTTGGCTTGGTCACCTTCAGCCTGTGCCGTTGAGGACTCCCTGAAGCCGCTGACAGATATGGTACGGTTTTCGGAAGTATGACACTTAATAAGCCAGTTGGACCAGACGATATAATAATATTTTATTCTCACACAAGGTTCACAAAGTCAACTCTTACAGTGTGAGGAATCAGGTGTAACTAGAGTGATAGAGAGGACCGATAAATAAAGGGAAAATTATGATTAATTGTAAATATTATGAAGATGTGAAAGAGGGGGAATGGAATGGTATAGAAAAGTAGAATGTTCAATTTTAAATTCTTAGATTTTCTACTACCACCCATGACACCATATTTTAGCTAGACATCGAGCTATCAGCCGTCCACCGGCAGCTTCTTCATAAGAATTTCCTGCGAGTCCTGGCCAACCAAGCTGCAGCAGTCGTGATGCTGTTGCGAGGATGTGTGGATGAGAATCCAGGGGTACGTTACGCCAACTGTTAAATGCCGATACCTTCGAAAACGTTAGAATTACATATCGTAACTTAACTTCCTTCAGATGGAACCCCATTTCTACCAGCGCTTATTCGATTCTTGGGCCGTCTTGGTCGACTTCTTCCACGCTGGAGGGAAAGGAATCTCGATGGAACAACTCGAGACTACCCCTCAGCATATGGTAAATTCTGGACTAAGGTAGTTTAGCCTCTTTTTAGGACCTCACTCGAATCCTTTCACTAAACCAGACCCCGACCGAACATTTGATCGAGAAGTATTACAAGGAGTTGTTGAAGCAGCAGGTAAGAGGTGAAAAACAGCAAAAAAAATTGAGAAGGCGGGCTAGAAGAAATCATTAGAAAATTCAAGCAAGCTCAAAAAATGCTTAAAATAAAATGACTTAAAAATAATTGCATCGATTGTTTTTACAGAGTTTTAACAGTTTTATAACTTTTTGCTTACCTCGCGTCCTCGGTTAAAACCAAAATATACTTTTAATCTCTCATTTTACTTTTTGCTACCAGTTATCGTTAATTTTCTTCAGAACGAAGTGACGGACTGCAAATACGGGATTCTCAACCTACGTGCCTACTACAATGCCAAGTCCCAGACGCTGAGGTTGGACGGTAAGTACAGATTTCGTGGGTCTAAGACACATAATTTAGTCATCGGCGCCAAGCAAGTGATCCCACTGGACACCAATGGACTGTCGGATCCATTTGTCGTTATCGAATTGGTGCCCAGGGCAAAATTCTCATCTCAACCAGTGTTGAAGACAAAAGTCATGCCGAAAACGTTGAATCCGATCTTTGATGAAACGTTTGAATTGTGAGTTTGAGCGGAATATTTTAAGCGTTACTCTCACGATACTTACATGAATAATTGGTTTTAGTTACCTTAAAACGATTTATAGGATCTCAAATATCTTAAGCGCCTGAAAACCTTAGCCAATTTCAGCCACATCCCGCAAAAAGTCCCACCCGGCGCCCTACTCCACTTCACGGTTATGGACCACGACTATCTAAGATCGAACGACTTTGCCGGGGAGGCATATTTGGAGTTGATTGATGTAAGTTGTAGCAGTACGTCGTAGTCGTAGGAATGCGGAGTGACACCTTGTAACCTCCACCTCAAAAATGTTACTTTTTAAGGTACCTGGCTTCTCGCCAACTACAGCACCAACGACGCTTCGGCAATTCAATCTGGTTTTGATCCATCCCGTCAATAATTGTGAGTTTCCGCGCATAGAGAGCGAGCGAACCTGAGAGGGCGCAAGCCAAGAGAGAGCGGGAGAGGGAGGGAGAGAGAGAGAGGGATAATGAGTGAGAGAGTAAGAGCGTGAAAGAAAGCGTGCAAGAGATAGGGAAAGAGCGAGAGAGTGAGGCAGAGGGGTAGATAGCGAAGAGAGATAGAGAGAAACCGAGAGCTGGAGAGTGATGGGGAGAGAGATGGGGAGAGCGAGAGAGAGAGAGTGGGGGATAGAGCAAGAGCCAATTTTTTATAACTTATTTCTAATACGGATTTTCAGGCAAAGACGTCTTCCAAGTCCTCGACAGTCGAAAAGAAGACAAGGAAGCTCAGGATTTTCTCCGGAACGTCCAGCTAAATTACTGATCTCATCTTGATTTTCCGGTCCTTGCCATTAGCATCGCATAATCTCGTTGCACCCCGCTCACTTTGATAGACCTAAAAAAACGCCGTTATCCCGATGCTTTCCATAGACTTATCACGCTTTCGCGGGATTCATTATATTTTTTAAATGTGGTTTTGTGGGGGCTCCCAGCTCTAGTAGTTTCTGCAGAAGCTCTAGTATGATCTCGTGAGGCTTTAAAGGTATATTCAAGCTTTTCAAACTGAGCTTGACGACCTTTTAAAATTTTTGAACGTATTAACGTTAAAATAAGCCTAAAATTTGCCGTTTTGCTCGTTTTTAAAGACCTGGTCCGAAACTAAGCTTCATTATACCTTTAAAGCCATTAACCAGCCATATAATCTCTTAAATGAGCTCCTCTTTTTTATGTCTCCACATTTTGCCCCCTGCTTTCAGTTCAGGTATTCGCCAATACATGTATTCCGATCTCCGCGCCCGCCGATCCCGTTGATCCAAGCCACCCCTCGTCCCTTTCATGAATGAACCAAATGCACAGAGTTGCGCTACTATCAGAGAAATAAAGCTGTTTTTATTGAAAAATGATGATTCTCATGCCGTACTTGATAAAAAATCATTACAGCCAGAAATTCGCCAGAAATTCAAGATCTGTCTTTCGAAAAACGACATTTTGCTATTAAAATCATGAATTCAGCGGTTCTTTTTTGGCGATTTAATCCAATTAAATTACATTTTTAATGGTACCAAGATTTCTAATTTTAGCAAAAAAACTACTGTGTTTAGGCCGGCGCCCTCAGGCCAAGGTTTTTTTGTCGCATATAAAAAGTTCAAATGAAAGGGGAATTCAGATTTCTTGAACCTAATATTTTTTAACAAAGCGTACGTTGCAGTTTAGAGAAATTTATTAATCCCGTAAAATTGGCTTGGAAAATACGATGAACAAGTGCAAAAAGGAAATTAGCATTTATTACAGTCTTAACGACAACACCGCAATTTGCATACAATAAGTTACTGTTAATTAATAGTTTCTGTTGTAGTTCGACCCAGCTATTTTTTTTCAGCAACACTACACACTAGATGATTTATCCGTTCCTGTCAAGGGTCTTGGCCGCTAGTTGGGAGGAAGCCCAGCACGCGCGCGTTCCCTAGTATCCTCGAGCACCCCATACGAGATATCGATAGAAATGGTGCCCTCTGCTAGGCAATTCGTGCCCGCAGGGGGTCATAATTGGACGAACGGCCATCGATTCCGCCCCGGCACCAATGTTTCAAATAATTGCCCTTTGAATTGGTTGGATGCTATCACGGTTGATAACTTTTTACAAACTCATTCCTACCAGTGCTGGCTAATTCATCATTTCCCACTTTTGAAAAACAATTTTATAGCTATTACTATTCTCCATTAGAATGGGCACCACTTTAAGTTATCCCCCCGTCCAAAATTAGTTATTCGTCCAGTTATTTTGGTATTTTAGCTTTTTAACAGATAATTTAAGGCCACACGACAGCGTATAAAATACTTTTGAAACATAGTTTTTAGCTAAAGTTATTTTACAGACGAATTGGACACCCCCCACCACCCTGATTGATCATCCAGCCAAAAATTCCCGATTTATTCGATATTTTAAACTTTGGGAAGTAGTTTATTTTCGCGGCATATGGAAGAGCACCAACAATAGTTAAGAAAACTTAGGATTAAACCAAAATAGTTGTAGAAAGTACGATATTCAAAGTTAAGTTTTTTACACTTCGAAAATAACCAATTACGAGTCGAATTGCCAAAATCATAAAATAGCTTACGAGAAAAACTGATTTTTAGTCATTTCAACTGGTGTTGTTTGCCCAACCTCAAATCAATTGTTTGTTGTCCTTCACCGGAAGACGCTTTTTTCGAGCATACGATATCAACGATATATTACGAAAATTCTGATTTTCAGAAGCCAACCACCATGGCGCTCCCGTTTTTGAGTTGCCCTGATTGCAACTTTGCGTACGACACGGAGCCGTACCTGAGGAACTGCCCGGTCATCCATCAAAACAGGCTCAGCTGCTTGGATTGCAAAAAGGATGAACAGCAAGTGGTAAGGATGTGGCCTTTGTCTAAGCGACTATGTATAGAATTTGATCGATGGAGGCGCAAAAACATAGTTAGGAGCACAGAACCGTTTTTTACAAAAATCGGATTACGCTGGGAAAAGCGCCTTTAGCTAGCGTAACGGATTGCTCAGCACTGTATTATTAGAGAGCCAAAAACCCAAAGGAGAACCGCCTAAAAATAAAAAAGATTTCACAAAATCGAAATTCTTCGCGCTGCAGGGATTACATGTCGTGATGCCCTTCGAGAATCGACCTTATTGATTCGTAGGCAAATTTTGCCTACGAATCGGCTTCAGAAAGGCCAAGGTCTTCGGAATGGCTTCAATACTTGACAATTCGCGCGGTCTCAAACTCAAAACGAGACTGAAAGTTGTGACCCTATCGGGCTATGTTCTAGACGGCAATACGACATGTAAAACCTTTCAAAATCTCCAAATTTTAGCTTTGAAAAACTGCTGAACAATAATGACACTAAAAGTTTCTCAAAATTTAGATTTTTGAAGCGGGACCAAAAATTAATGCAATTAGCGCTTTCAAAACCATCAGAAAGCACGAAAGCCGAAGTGCATCTAACGTTTTCTTATCAAACCCTTTAAAATCTGCCAGATACACCTGGTGATGACTAATCGCGCGCATTAGCTGGCGTTACGACATGTAACATGTAGCCCTAATAAAAGTCTCAAATGAAAATTTTCAACTTTCAGGCCGAATTCCTGTGCGACTTCCTGAAGCAGCCAAACCTGCGCCAAAACCGGGAACTCATGCCCATCTGGGAGGCGCTCGGCCCGCTAAACGCCTTCTCGTGCCGGAGCTGCAAGCGTGAACTATCTCCCGTCGGCGCGGAGCCGTACATCTTCGAGGGGTGCTACCACCTGACCTGTCGCTCGTGCGACACCAGCAAGTGTGCATGCGGCTTCTCCTACGGCTGGGCCTACAAGTGCGGGCTGGAGATCTTCGAGAAAGTCGGGCGATTCAGGACGCACGAAGCCAAATTGGCGGCCCGACAAAAGGATTGTGAGCAGGGGATCATCGCACAGCTCAAGAAAGCCAAGCCCGAATGCGCGATTTGCGGTTTTTCTCTCAAAACGCCGCTTGTTGCGATGACATGTGAGCATGTGGTCTGTATACAGTGCCGGGAAGATGTTCGCCATCTCGACGATATCTGTGACGTCTGCCGGAAGCCGAAGGATGGCCATATGGCATGGGGGCAGAAGTTGCTCAGGGAGGAGGCGCAGCGAGTTGCTGATCAGGAGAAAGCTGTAGAGCAAAAGCAAGAAAAATTTGCTGTGCAAGGAAATGCTACGCAAACTGTGAATCAGGAGCAACAACAAGTTGCTGCTCAAGAAACTGGGCTAAAAACTTTGAAGCAAGAGCAAGAAAAGGCTGCAGCTTACGAAAAAAAGCCCACAAGCTTGAAGGAAGAGCAAGACAATGCGGAAGCTCAAGAACGGAAACTGAAAGCTATGAAACAATCTCAAAAACAGTGGCTTGCTCAGATCGAATTGTTAGAAACTGAAATCCGGAAAAGAGCTGCAGCTTACGAAAAAGAGCCCAAAACCTTGGAGGAAGAGCAAGACAAAGCTGAAGGTGAAGAACAGCAAATGGAAGCTATGAAACAAGCTCAAAGACAGTATCTTGCTCAAATCGGAATGATAGAAATGGAAATCCGGAAAAGACTGTCCAAAATCAGTCAAGATTCTGGTTTCGTGGAGGATGATGAGAAACCGGAAGCGGATCCGGAATTCCACGCTTTTCGAGCAGAGCTTCAACGCCTTGCCGATACCATCGACGGCAAGAAACCGGAACCGGAAGTTGGCTCTGCAAAAGCTCGACCAAAAGCGCCCGAGCAAGGGCAAGAAAAAGTTGCGGTTCAAGGAAATTCCACGAAACCTGTAAATCAGGAGCAACAAAAAGTTGCTGCTCAAGAAACTGGGCCAAAAACTTTGAAGCAAGTGCAAGAAAAAGCTGCAACCAAAGAACGGGGAACGAAAGCTATCAAAGAAGCTCATAAACAGTACCTTGCTCAGATCGGATTGTTAGAAGTCCGGAAAAAACTGTCCAAAATCAGTCAAGATTCTGGTGTCGTGGAAGATGATGAGAAACCGGAAGCGGATTCGGAATTGCACGTTTTTCGAGCAGTGATTCAACGCCTTGCCGATACCATCGACGGCAAGAAACCGGAACCGGAAGTTGGCTCTGAAAATGAATCTGAAAAAGCTCCAGAAAATGAACTCGGCTTCAATGCTCCCAGGATCCGGCTTCCCGCCGAAGTTCTGGTCGACGGGCTGACCAAGGAGGTCTCGAAATTGCGCACTGAACTTGACGAACTCAAGCTGGTCATTGAGCTCCAGGCGCTGGAACAAGTCAAAATTGCTGATCAGCAGCAGCGGCAGCAGGTGCCAACGAAGAGCGGGATCCGAACTCTCAAAGAAACCTGTCTTCAAAAGATCATCGAGGTCAAGAAGGCGGAAGAATCTGCCGGAGAGAGTGATCACGGCGATTTTGAGGTTTTGAATTTGAGGGATCTCAGCCTTGCAACTGAAGATAGGATAAACAATATTTGAAAATAACAGAAAAATCCAGCTGGATCTCACTTTTCATGCTCCCGATCTCTACCTCTTTTTCTTTAATTGCTAACCCGAATAAATGCTTTTCAATAAACTCGCATCCAAATTTTTTCTACTTTCTTTAAATACATTGAAAATCTGTTTACATACTACAACACTTCGGAAAAATTAAACGAACAACTTAAAGCGCACAAACTAAACTGAAAGCATCATCCTCTTTTGTAAAAACTCCAGCTTAAAATCAAATTCTTACAAGGATGGACGCTCTTACAAATTTAATTTCAGGCAAAAATTATAGAAAAATGGCCGTATTATCTGGTAATTCTAGTGTCAATCCG